CCTTCTCGTCTGTCTCGCCTCGCCCTTCTCGTCTGTCTCGCCTCACTCTTCTCGTCTGTCTCGTCTGTCTCGCCTCAATCTTCTCGTCTGTGTCGCCTCACTCTTCTTATCAGTCAGCTCGACTCACTGGATTCGGCACGCTGCATTGAGCAGCCGCGTTCAGTTTTTAATTGTAGTGTCTGTTCTTTTACCGAACTAAATGATTTTTATTACTATAAAAAATCAAAACGACGGTGGGCAAGTGACATAACCGGTGTTGTGGCTTAACAACGGTATCACCGTCAGCACCGTCTATCGCGGCAAGCCTAGTAGATGTTGGAACTGACAGTTATTAACATAATTATTGATCAGTTAATACGAAATAATATCGGCTGATTGGTCTGTCACTAATTCAAACCCTGCATTGATTTTACTAACAATCCTGCAGCGTCCCAAGACAGATATGACAGCAGAGACGTGGAGAAACTCTTCAGAGATGACGCTCTGGTCGAAGGCTACCTCACATGGAGACACTTCGTTGTGGAAGACACCTTAAAGATGATCGATGAGAGCTTACAGTGGAGGAAAGAGTTTAACTTGAATGGTATGTGTGTAGAGTTTGGGGCCTTTATGCTCGTGGAGCTTTTTCCCAGAACAGGCTGAAATGAGGAAGTTCCTCACATGCATGTCAAGCTGCTGTACCATAAACCTTGTGAAAACATGTCTAGGTCACATTGCCAAAAAGAAAATGAAACTTATTTTAGGGATGTTTCTCATTCATGTGTTATAATAAAACACTTTTTATTTTTTAAATCACTTTTATTCTCAACTGTTTCCTCATTACTGTAGTACATTTTCTTTTGTACTACATATTACAGTAAAAACTATTGTAACTTTAAAATAAAAAAAGCATTTATTCTCAACTGTAATTATCATTAGTCAAACATTTTTTACCATAGTACAGTAAAAATTGTAATATTTTTACATTTTATTTTTAAATGATTTAAAATAAACAGAATCATAATTATTCTCAAATTTTTTTATTACTGAAGTACAATTTTTTACCATATTACAGTAAAATTATTGGGTAACACTTTACTTGAAGGGTGTGCATAAGACTGACATGACACCTTCATAATCATGACATGACACATGTCATGAATATGAAGGAGGTTTTATGCATGTTTATGACAACTGTCATTAAGTGTCATTCGCTCAGTTATGTCATTTTTAATGCAAATATGACATTATTTGACCTAACCCTACCCCTACACTTACCCCTAACCATAGCCCATAACAAAGACATCTCAAACAATGTCATCTTTGCATTAAAAATTACATAACTGAGCAAATGACACTTAATGACAGGTGTCATAAATATGCATAAAAAACCTTCACATTCATGATATGTGTCATGTCATGATTATGTAGGTGTCATGTCATGATTATGAAGGTGTTATGTCAGTCTTATGCACACCCCTTCAAGTAAAGTGTAACCAATTATTGTAATTAAAAAAAAATCATAATTGAAAAACAATCACGATTATTCTCAACTGTAATTCTCATTACTGTAGTTCAATTATTTTACCATATTACAGTAAAAATACATTTTTAAAGTTATATTTAAAATAAAAAAGTATTATTCTTAACTGTGATTTTTATTACCGTGGTAAATGTTAACCATATTACAGTAAAAAAGGTAATATTTTGTACATTTTCTTTTTTAAATGATTTAAAATAAACAGAATCATTATTTTCAACTGTGAATTTCATTACTGTAGTATTTTTTTTACCATATTACAGTAAAAATGGTAATGTTTACAGTTTATTTTTAAAATAAAAAAATCGCTATTATTCTCAACTGATTTTCATTACTGTAGTACAATTATTTAACCATATTACAGTAAAATTATTGTACTTTAAATTTATAATAAAAACAAAATCACCATTATTCTCAACTGTAATTCACATTACTGTAGTTCAATTATTTTACCATATTACAGTAAAAATTATAACTTTTAAAATTATTTTTAAAGTAATATTTCAAATAAAATAAAAATAATAATTCTTAACTGTGATTTTCATTGCCATAGCACAATTTTTACCATATTACAGTAAAAATTATTGTAAATTTTTGATAAAAAAAAAATATAAAATAAACACGAATCACCATTATTCTCAACTGTGATTCTCATTACTATGGTATGTTTTTTTTACTGTATTACAGTAAAAATGGTAAAATATTTTTAAAAAATTATTTTTTTACATTTTTAAAATGGAAAAAAAATCATTCTCTGTGATTTTCATTACTGTAGTACAATTGTTTTTAACCACATTACAGTAAAAAATTATTGTAACATTTTTTAAATGTATTAAAATCTGTTAATTTTAATTCCTGAATTAAGCCTCGGACATGTTCTTGACAAATTAACTTTTTTAAATAATCAGATGCTGTTAACGATTAAAGTTGTTAAGTACTGAAAGCTGTAATTATTCGGTCCTGTAATACTGGTCCATGTGTATTATTTTATGATTATGTTTTTCTTTTTGATCCCAACATGGTCATGAGTTCTTCTTGGATAAATAGTGCATAATTTCTACGCGCTCTCTCTGTCTTTTACAGTTATAAAGATTTAAAGCTTTCATTGTCTGACCAACAGATCATAAGGGTTCATAAGAACCGCTGATTCCGAAGCTTTACTTTCTAATGAAGACCCTTATTGTGTGTTGTCATCCTCCTCCTCTTGTCTGGTCTTCAGTGTGTTGATTCAATCACTTCAGCTGATTTGAAATAAATTTCATGGCCTCCAAAGCAAACCGAGCTGGTTTTCTCTTATCAAACGTGGCATCGGGTTCTTAAGGAAAGTGTGACGTTCACAGTGTTGCAAGCTGATACTGTTGTGATGATTCAGGAAGGAAATGTGAGGGATGAGTGCTATAGTGTTGTTTTTGTCTTCCTGTAGGCCTCACGGAGAGCAGTATTCCCCGATGGATGTTTGAGAGCGGTGCGGTTAACCTTCACGGATACGACAAAGACGGAAACAAACTTAAATAGAACTACAGTTCAACGGGAATTTAATAGCAATAATAGATTTTTACTGATTTTAAATTAATTTTTAATCTACTGTACTTGACTACAGTGGCTGTTTGTTTGAAATAATGATTCCTCTGATTGCAAAGAAAGAAAGAAAAACATTGTAAACCATAGCAGAGAAAATACATAAATAGAAGAATATTTTGAATATTTATAAAAAAGTTGCACTTTGAGAGCAAACATAAGAGCTCCAAACCCTTTTCAGTGACCAAAATTAACAAATTGTACTTGTAATAGTTTCTCAGTCCACTAATAATTAATATTTTAATACATAATATATGTATATAAATATTTTAATAATAATAACACTGATATTATTATTATTATTATCCCTAAGATACATTAATATTATTATTGTAAAACAAATGCACTGTAAAATAAAATGTATCGGATTTCCAATAACAACCCTAATTATTGTTTTTGAGAACTAACTTGTGTTTGTGTTAGTAATCATACAAGTATTATATAATGAAGTAGCAGTCATTAGATGAAGTACTGAGGCTGGAGCCTGTGTTTTGTCATGTATGTTGTATGTTGTATGTTGGTCTCACACTGACACCTGCTGCTGCAGACGAGCATCACACACCAGTAAAAGCTGCTGTTTGAGATCAAACACTCAGATCAATTGTTCAACTCAAATTGTTGGGGAAAAAATACAAATAAAAATCACACAAATGTACACTGAAATAAGGATCCTGGCACTGGCACAGAAAATATAGTAAACTACAAACATAAACAAACAAAAAACTTTAACTGAAATTAAAAAAGTAGCTAGCTGACAAAGTGAAAACTCATTTTTAATTTAGTTGAACCTGATGTTCTAAAATAACTAAATTTTTAGTTAAAAAGTATATGTATGTATTTATGTGTGTGAGTGTGAGAGAGAGTGTGTGTGTGTGTGTGTGTGTGTGAGAGAGAGTGTGTGTGTGTGTGTGTGTGTGTGTGTGAGAGAGTGTGTGTATGTGTGTGAGTGTGAGTGTGAGTGT